TTTTTGAGAATTTTTTTTTGAAGTGTCGGTAAAAAAATGTTGGACGACCAAACAAACTTGAAAATTTAATACAAGGTTCCTTATGAGTTGTTCTTATTGTAGCTAAAAAATATTAAAAATCGTAAATCACGATTGTAATTAGTGTAATTAACACATTATTTATTTAATTAATTACAAATATTACTTATAGTATAGGTATATTTTTTATTAAAAAAATAAAAACCAATTTGGTAAAGGAAACATTAAATTAAAAATCAATTTAAGTTCTAAGATGAAAATATATATTGAATACGCCTGTCGTCCGTAGTATTGCCACAGAATAGGTGAAATTTCACCTATTCTGTGTATCTATTATCCGTGAGTAAAAACAACTATTTATATAATCTCTTAAGTGTCAACTTGTTCTTATCATTGGTTGATATATAGCCCCACTCTTGGTTTGATTACATGGTACATTAATGTTATCATCCAAATAATACTACAAAAATCAGTAATCACAGAAAACAGAATCATTCAATATTGCTGTTTAGTGTTTATTATTATTAACTTTACACAATACACGGGTCTTTACTTTATATTTCGTAGTACCAAATACATTCAAATTGTTTACGAAATGGGGAAGGGTTTCAATAATTACATGTGTAAAAAGTTCTTTCATCCAGCGTCAAGAGATAATTTAAAACGAGTAAGTTTTTCTTCAAAATACTGTAGGTGCATAACGTCTCCAACAAAATGACAATAAAACATAATAAGTCATTAGTTTTTAATGAAATACAATTTAATTATTTTTTAACTATGAATTAACATCTACATACAACTTATGAAGTATTTTTATTATCACAATGTAAATTTATTGATATAAAATTATTATTGCTAAATTAATATATTATTAGAACCATAAAAAATATAGTTTTATGAGGAGTTATGTCTAAATGTTWAATTTTAAAATATAAAAATACTTATTACTCACTTAATAATTAAATATTGTAAGCAACCTAATAGGATACAAATGTAATTTTCTTAACATAATGATTGATATTAGGTCAATTCAATATGATATTAAAGTAATTACATGAAATCTTTACTACTGAAATCAAATTTGGTATGTTATCATTTTTTTTTAAGATCAAGACTGAACATGAGGCTATTAAATGCTCTCAAATGTTACAATTTGAATCTCTAATAAAATTATTCAAACAATTTGTAGGTATGGATGGCAGAACAAAAATCGGATAAAGACAAAAAACGTCAAGAAGAATTACGTTTACAATATGAAAAAGAACAAGATCTTTACAACAACAAGTAAAATACTTTATTATAATTATATTATATTCATTGTTTTATATTATTTATTTATTTATTATATTTATATTTCCAGAGCATTGTTATCAAAAGAAAGTAAGGATAAGTTGAGTGTAAATTTTATGTATGAACCACCACCGGGTGCCAAAAAAGAAAGAGAACGTGAAGATAATGAGCCTGAATATAAATTTGAGTGGCAAAGAAAATTTAATGCCCCCAGAGAAGAGTAAGTACTATAAAATGCTAAAATTGTTATTAATGTTGTATATATAGTAGATATTAGTGATATCAGTAATAATTTTTGTTTTAGCATTACCTATCTAAAATAGTATTGTCTCTATTATTGTTAAAAAAGTAGGTACTTTTCTGTTATCCCTACTACCGCGACTCTCAATTCTGTTATCTAGACTACCTTACCGATGCCTTCTGTTATTTCGACTACTATAGTACTATCCAGATAGTTCCGTATTTTAATACATAATACACATCATGAATTGCATTTATGTAATAATGTATATTAGTATAACGTTTATTATTAGCAATCACATAAATTATCACAGCAGTGGAGAGTTATAGTATAAAACCACAATTTAAGATAGTACCAACTTAAATCGTGTATAAAACATAAAATCATCAAAACTATCACAAAACGTCAAATTACAAATTCTAAAATTATCGCAGCAGTGAAAAGTTATTAAAATATAAAACAAAAAGTCATCAAAATTATCAATTAAATGTCAAGCGGTAGTAGAGATAACAGAAAAGTACCAAAAAGTAAATATTCTGTACTTKAACATGGTTAGTCAAAAGTTAAAGATAAAAAAAGTACCAAATCTGTTTTCAAATCATATAATATCGAATTTAGTATTTTTCTCCACTCAACTGAATAAATGGGTAATCGGAAAAAAAATCCCCAGACTACAATATTACTCACAACCTCATTCACAAATATTTTTTAATGTTAATTGGTATCTATAATTACCACATTATTAATATTTAATTACAAATGCGTATATTATATTATTATATTAT